TACTTTTCTACCTAATCCTTCTTTCCTTGGAAAAAGCACTGACAGCTCACATGCTAGTCACAATGACAAAAAAGCACTCACATCACTGTCTACCTTCTTAATACCACCACCAAAACAAACTTTATTTTAAAAGTGCGGTTTTACCACTGTAACTGTATCTACATTAAGGGATTCCACTGGCAGAGCTGCACTAGACAAGGATGAACGTGCTGATTAATGCAGCTGTCCCACGCATTTGTAGCAGAAATGACCTTATAAGCATGTCCACAGGGAGTTAAAGCCACATAATCATGTTGCAAATCCATGCCCCTTACTTGATATGTTTAATTTTCCTAAGCAGATGACTCTTAAGGGTCAGAAGCAAGAAAACACAAGCTGTAACATCTCAACTTGACACTTCTTTATTGTGATTTTTTTTCAGTGAGGAAGTACCAAACAAAGGTACACTCATACACAGTACATTCTCTTGTATGGTCAATCCACCAAAAACAGGAAAAAAGAAAAAAAAAAAAAAGAGGAGAAGGAAAGAGCAAAATCTGAGCTCCACGTTAGGAAAAAAAAAAAAAACAAAAAACAGAAAACTCAACGTGCTGCAAGAAAGTAAACAATGTCATGGAAATACAGGGGTAAAATGCGACATTTTGGGTTTGAGTTTCTGAACAGGAAATAACGTTTATGTCATAACAAACATATTTTAGACAAAGACAGTGCACTAAAGCTAGTACACAATTTAAGTAAAACATACAATATAGTATCTAATGGCCTTTAAAGCTAAGGTAGCAGATTTCGTTTGAAACTAGCTACAACTCTAAAGAAAATTTCATACAAGGATACTCTCACACCCCTTGTGACATTAAAAAAAATCCAATATGGCAAAACATACATGACACACAACTCAGGGTCACAGAGATCTGGGCCTCTTGATATCCTCTTACTCTTCTAGGGATCAGCATAATCTGCAAGACTGTCAATCACTCATATTGAAAAATCTTAAAGCTGTTAACATACTTCAGGGTTTGTTTTGTGGCTTGCAGTTTGCTCTGGAACATAAAGGGCAAAGAATTAACAGAGACACCCCCATAACTGAAAATGAAAGGCAGTCTGAACCTGAGGCTCTCTTCTCAGAAGATACATGAATTGGATGGCCAGTCACAGCTTCAAGCTTGGCAAGATGCTCTATATTTTGAAGGGCAAAACCCCAAACTTAGCATTTAAAAACATCTGCAAAATCATTTTACCAGACCAGGAGCCAGCACTGTCATCCTCTTGTGCCACCTTCTAGCAAACCTCACACTTCCAAGGGATCCAATGTAACTCTGGCTTTGTAATTTAAAAAAAACCCCAAAAACAAAAACAAAAAACAAAAAAACAAGAAGGGAGCTCCTAGATGCCAAAGCAGGAGTTCCTGAACACAATTTACCCTACAATATTTCTTAAGCTCCTTCTAAAGGAAAGGGACTTTTAATACTCCAAATCTTTATTATTACTCTCCTACATTATTACTGACACTGGGCAGCAGGCCTCTTGGAATACTCTACCACACCAGCCAGTTCTGTTCTGAAGATTTGAAACAAGAAACTCCTCCTTTTCAAATGAAGAATCAAACAAGTGAAGCCTATATTTAACTTCCTATTCACTGCAGCGGTTGCAAACAAGCTCTTGTAAACACTCTACAGGTCACAAATTTCCAGTATCTTATCTCAATGTTAAGCTGCTGAAGTAGAGCTCAAAGCTCTTTCCAACAGGCTTTCTAGAGTGCCACTTACAACAACTGAGGCCACTGGCTAAATAACAAAGCTCTAAAGCCAAAGCAAAAAGAAAATAATTTGTTAAATCTGGTCTATTGTTAGATTGGCTTGCATCTAATTATTAAACGCAACACTGGCGCGCATATATATATATATATGTATGTAAATTACTTTTGCCCCATATGCTAAAAAAGTACAGCACACACTCCTTTAGAAGACACACAGGCTGTATGTAGCAAGTTTGCTTCTAATAGCAGGTCTGTCTCGAGTACAAAAACTACCTTGACTTTTCACACCTTTAATTCTTCTAAAGATATTGCAAGTACTACAAAACATCAGTCTGCTAAATCAAATGTATTTCCCCACGCCACCCGGGTTACAATACATCATGGGCCATATATAGCTAAGGAAAGCAAATTTACTCTTTTTCTTTTTCAACAAAATGCAGTAACAGGTACCACAAGAATACCCTCTCATACTGAAAGACACAAACTAACAAGCACTATGGGTAGAAAATAACACGCACTTCTCTTCTTTGAAGGTCATATGAAAACTGACAATGACAGCACACCTGAAACAACAGAAACTGCTTTGCGCTCACAGAAGAGTTAACCTGCCAAGCTCACTACTGCAAGACACAGACCTTATCAGAATTTTTAAAAGGTTTTGAATTTTCTTCTGGCTGTCATGCCACAACAGGATGAAGTACAAAAGCTGCAAAGTCTGGAAACACTTTACAATCCAACTTGTAACCTTTAATCGCCAGGGTATAAGACAGTATTTTAATCACAGTGAATAAAGAGTTTGGTCTACTTTTAACTGGTGAATGATACAATACCCTTAACTATTTTAACTAGAAGTATTTGAGTCAAGCTGCATTTACAAATCAGTTCATTTTAAAACTACTGGGTTTTGTTATTAGGTGAACCAAGTTGTCAACAGATTCACTGTATTCTCAACCGCTGAAATACATACAGAAGTGTCAGTCCTAAGGATGCTACATTGTAGACTAACAGACCACAGGAACAGAAATACCTGTGATCTTACTTACTTAAAGCTGAGATTAAGGAGAAAAACAGAAACCCTGAGTGCTGCTATTACAGGAAAAAAAATACTTGTGTGCATAGAACCTGAAGAAGAGAGTGAAAACTATTCAGATTCCACGTGGTGCAAACCAGTGGTACTTTTTCAGTTTGACTAATGGGAGTTAGAGGTTTTCTCTCAGTTCTGTAAAAATAAAAGATACGTAAAACATGCCTGATAACGCTTATTAGTTCAGACATAGCTTACCTTCAAATGTTAATACGTGTATTCAGGTCATCACTTGTAAGAACTGTGAAATATTTAAGACCTCAATTACATAAAGAAAATGCCACTTGTACAGCATAAGAACAAACACTTAGAATATTTGGTCCAAATGTGAAATAAAACAAACCTTCCAGTATTTGCAAAAGTAAGGGTATCCATAATCATTTTGTATACGGTCACATTTAATCTAAGCAAATTCTGCACAGACAAGATTAACCGGATGTGTGTTTTATTGTGGAAGGTGTGGGGGCGTTTATGAAACTATCTAAAACAACCTGCATATGTAGTGTTTAAACACAAACTAAGCTTCAGGCTGCTTTAATAATCCTTTTTGGACAGACTCAAAAGACTGAAGTTAAAAGGTCTTTTTTCACCTTTACGTTTGTGGAATGAGCGCGCCAGCCCCCATGAATCTGACAAACATATCTTCCTCAGATCTGCCATGTAGCTTTACACACAGATCACAGCTTGGAAAAGTGAACTATACCTTCCACTAGGCAGCAAGTGTTCTGAGGGTCTTCCAAAGCTCCAGGACTTTACCAGTTTTATTTATAGTCCACAACAGCACTCAAACCAACACAAGAGCACAATTATACCTCATCTACTGCAATAGCTCCAAAATTTTCACTGAAGTTACTCTTTGGTTTGATTCAGCCACTGACTAAGACACAGGACTACACAGCCCCCTAGGCTTCTCTCCCAAATCCTTCCTGCTTTAAATAACTCACTGACATCTGCATTCACTGGTGCACTGATTTTGGTGCTCGAAGCCACTTATCGCCTATAGTTAGCTGTAATGAGATCATGACTGCCTCCCCACACATGCTTAAGCTGCTTAGACAGTACTATCAAAGGACACAGAACAAACAGCCAGCCCTATTTTCTTGTGCCTCTCTAGGATTTCTAAACTCACTTTTTAAAACGCTTGACAATACTCTGATACCAACAGTGGACAATGCTAATCGGAATTAAAGATTACATGTATTTTGCATAAATCCACCCTGGTGGTTTAAAAAATAGGGAAAATGCAGCTCAGCATAGAACTACGGGGCAGGGGGAAGAGAAACGTCGCAGCCGAACAGGCACTATAAAATAGTTCACCTTTAGATCAGCACTTAAGTCAGCTGGGACAAAGAAACAGGAGCATCCCCTGCAGAGAAGGCACAGCATGTCTCCTCTCCCTACCCCGGAAGGCAGCTGTGGAGCTTGGCATCTTTGGTCATTACCTGTTGCACTTCAAACTAACACAGACCGTTAAGTCACACAGGTCAGGGGCTTCCCACCAAAGTGAACTGTGCGACACAGTCACTATTTCAACACATGCTGTCTCAAGAAAACAAGGTCATTTGAGTCTGCTGGCAAACAAATGCTTATACCACAGCTACCGAGTCATATCTTTGTTGATAAAGAACTGGGGTAAAACAGGTATGCTAGACTTTCTTCCAAATTTAGAACAGCACAAAATAATTCCTTTCAGCCTGGAAGACTATCCAGCCAGACTATCATCTTTCAGCAAACTAACCTCAGAATAGAAATTAAAAAAAAAAAAAAAAAAAAAAAAAGAGACAGTGATAGAGATCTGAAATCATTGTAAGATAATTCAGTTGCAATTCAACCACTTAAACAGCCAGAACTGCTAGAGCATAAGAGTTAGCCTCCAAATCTTGGAAGCTTAGTTCTTATTACAAAGAACAGACACCAAGTTGATTAAAAGTTAACAAATATAAAAGAGGAACTGAGCTTTTCACTGTACTAGTGCACTTACCTGGGTGCTCCTATAGCATCCTCCAAAGATGAGAGCATACCTCCCATAAACCATATCTACATATATTTCTTGAAGGGTAAAATTACAAAGAAAGAGGAAAAAAGCAAGCAGCTTATTCCTCTTTGCATGGTATTTAAGGTGGCTGCATATGTACTGTGGGCAAATCAGAAAAAAGTTACCTTAGAGATGTCACCCAAGCTCTTTCTGTTGAACAGTCACTGGGATATGGAGCCAACCTCTCACAATCAAGAGGGAGCAGGACGCCAGAAGCAAGTCAGCCTGGAAGATGTTGTATGGAAACGAGTTAGCAAGTGCTAAATTAGCTTTTATTTAGGTCTTTGCTTGCTCATCAATTCAGAGTGTTTGAGAGCATGCTCTCCCTTGAGTCTGGGACCAGAATTCACAGCGAGCTCCTTTCAGGATGCAAATGCTCTCACTCACTCCTCTGGGCTCTGACAGATGCTCTTTACCAACTGTACCACTGAGGTAGAGGGGATCACTGTCCCCAACTGCCTCCTCCATCCCTCAGCTGAAGACTGCCAACCGGCGGGTGGAGCAAAACAGGATGCACGCCTGTTCTTCATCTGCTCTGGTTCAGGAGACACTGATGAGTATTAATGGAGAAAGATTGAAGCATAGTATTTAAACTGTAGCAACAGAGCAGGCTCTGCTGTAGGCCCTAATACGAGGGAGGCAGCATTTGGCAAAGAAGCAGGACAGCTGGTGGAGGAGATAACCTTTCTAACTACAAAAGCTACATCAGAGACAGCTTATCTACTGGAGTGCTCAACCACGTGTAGTAACATCCTACCAGGATAGGCACATTACATCTCATAACCTTTTTTACTGCTTTTATCAGATTTGGTTGACACAGATCATCTACTAATATAATTATGGCAGCTACGCCCATGTTATTTCTGAACAGAAGCAATTGCACCAACGTTAACTACCATGGATAGTGTTATACAGCTAGAGAGGCACCCTATAATAGCAAAGCATATTCCTTTATCCCCAGAGAAGGGGATAAAATCATTTGTTGTGAATGGAACCGACCACATCTTGACAATGGTTATGCAAAATAAAAGCAAGCTTAAAGAAGATTGTCTTTTATTCACAGTTAATGCTACTTAAAATGCATATAGATAAGCCTACAGAAATAAACGAAGGCAAATGACTTGCACCTTAGTACTATCTGCAGAGTAGTTCTCACCAGTGGGGACTATATGGGAAGCACAGGCACACCAACACACCAACACACCAATTAAGAGACCTGCATCTACTGGAAAGTACATCTACCCGAAGAGCACACTGGGAAAGCCAGAAATAACAGCTGCTGCCACATCAGAACAGCACAAGCACTGCGTACAGGCGATGCCGGCAAAACGGAAACTAAGCAGCCATGCACAAACACTTCCTCTTCCTCCCCCACCCCCGCTATGACAGCAGCAACAAACCTGAGATTAAACACTCGCCAGCATCCTGCTCTGCATTCCTGTCGCGTCAGGAATACAGAAGAGGGAGACTGCTAGCTGCTCCTCCTTATAACTGAATGGTTCCTTCAGTTTACAGAAAGTAATATAAATACTTGATATGATTCTTGCAGAAATTTCTGTTGCATTTTCTTCTTGTCTTTCACTTCTTTATCTCACCCATTTCAGAGCTCACTAGGGACCCCTTGTATTAAATAGGCTTGTTTTTGACACATTCCTTCTCAAAGACTGAGAAGTCAGAAAAAGCAGTTCCTCCTAGGCAAGTCACATTATATAAACAAGCAAGCACAGAGCCACAGCTCCACTGAGTTGCCACGCACAAACTCCGGAAGTCAAGTTCAAATCTAAACCCTGCCCAGCACCAAGACTGATGGTGTGACACTGTCAAACATAAGAGTAAACAAATCAGGCTGCAGTTTTCTGTCAGTACTAACTTTCAAGACTGTAAATCTCAGCATCAACACTCAACTGTGATGCACACGTCTCAAACACATTACAAGCAAATTCTTGAGGGGCAAATTGGGGGAATTTGGTGGCAGCAAGTGAAGTGCCTGGGTTACAATGCAATGCCCAAGTAACAGACCAAACAAGGCCTCTGTCAGATTTACAACGGTGACAATCTGCATGTCAACCACAGATGGAAGAAACATACCTCCTCTAGAGCACAGGCTGTGGATGTTCAACTTCTAACTTACCACCTACATTTTGTTATTCCAATGGAAACCACACAACGGTGCCACCTCATACCCCAGGGTGCCAGTCAGAACTCACCAGATACACGACAACCTTTAGACACAGAGGAATCAACTAAAAACTGAAACCTGACAAGGCAAGTGATCAAACCTTTTTACAAACATTTGGTGATCCACTGAACCAAAGAGACTGTGTCCTGTAAGCAGATGGTCAACAAAAAGCTCCAACCTTGGACAGGGCTCCTCATCTCACACTAGTCAAGCTCAACAAGGTCACATTTTCAGAGTTTGATAATTTTACCTGAAATGAATAAGCTCCATATATGGGGGAGGGAAGGAGAGAAGAAACAAACTAGGCAGGTCAGATAGGATGAGAACAGCATGCAACTGCATGATTAAGAAGAAATCACAATGCCTGTTCAGAGGGCTAATCAGCTGATTAAGAGTACAGGTACTACTTCAGCCTGGGTATTTTTTGACCTTTGAGTGCTTGCTATTCTAAACCTGACTTCTCATTACGTGCAATGCAATACAGAATAACTTGCAGGTCAGTTGACTAACACAATCTACCATGAAAGGGGATCCCAAAGCACATCTTTGCTTTCTAGAATATTTTTATAAGGAGAAGATGCCCAACGTTATCACCCTGATGAACCACACAATGACACTATTCACATAAGTAGTATAAAAGAAGCATGGATGCTACTGTTCCAATTAATTTTAAAATATATGTAAATATGTATTTTTAAATTATATTTTTATATAACAATATATAAAAACACATTGTTACACCATTTCACAATCACAGTGTAGGTTACCATGAACAAGAATAAGACTCCATTCCACCACCAGCCCCACGTTCCCCCAACTGCCCTTGCAACAGCAAAATCATTTAAACATCCTCAAAGCTGGGGAGGAAAAATAGTCAGTTTGTCTTCAGTTTGATCAACTCATAAGTCAGGGAACTCTGATTCCCACCTCTACAAACACCCCAGCTAGCACCAGTGACAGGACAAGAACCTCCTGTTGGTTGCAGTCTACACTTATATGAGCTTAAAGTGACTGCAAAGCTACTCATGAAAGGCAGCAAAACCAAAATTCTCAGTGCCTGGAATTGGATCCTAGAAACTGGCCCCCTTCTCATCTGAACAGTGAATCACATGCTAACTTGCTCTTTTTCTATGTAAGAAACACACAAAACTGCCACAAGGCACCTACTGGACAACCAGAGTAGAAACTAACCTAGGAAAGTCACATGGACCGTTCAGAAGAGGGCTCTACCACATATCTTAAACACTGTGGTCAGAGATTCCTATGGTAATGATCCTGAACATATCAACATATCATCTACATATACACTCAACAAGCCAAGGATCACTTTCTCTGCTTTCCCAAAAGTCTTTATCAGACAGGAAACAAAGGCAACACCATGAATAGGACACTCAGATCTGCCTAACAGGCTTTAACCAGGATGGCACAGGCTGTTCATCCATGCACCTGGAAATGGCTGTGCTGAAAAAGCTGCAGAAGGTATGAAACACTCTCTGATGCTATCAGAAGAAAAATTACCATTAGGACAATCCATAACATTGACAAGAGTTTTATGCAGTTGAAACAACAACCCAGTTATCTTGATATATACAGGATTCAGACTTAAATCTTTTCACAAGGTACCACTCTCCTTCCAGCTCCAAAACAAAGCACTTACCTTAGGTCAGTGCTAAACTAACCAAGCCACAGAAAGATATTTCTCAATCTCAATAATAAGGAACTGTTACACAGGATTAGGATGTCTCTAATAGACCTATTTAGGGTTACAATGACAACATCTAATAACCAATATAATTATTTCTAAAACACTTCCAAGGTCCTGACAGAATCTCTGTAAACAGGAAACCAAAGTCAGTGATATATATAACAAGAATACAATGTTTGCTCCACTGAAAATCTGACCATATGCATGTACGTCAGTCTATCAGCTGCAAATGACAGTTCAATACAAAGAGACTTGCACAAGACATTATAGCATATTATTTTGTGAGACAAGCTACCAACTAAGTTTACACAAATAAGCCTACCAACTGTAGGAATATTGCATTAAGAATGAGCAGAGACCCAACCCCACACTGTTCTGGCACCATTCAGTGCTTCGTTTTCAAAGGCCAATCTTGGAATTAAGCTTTAGTTAAGGCAGGTGAACCTGAAGGGAGGAAAAGCAGATGAAGCAGAAACAGAGCAGGACAGGCTGAAGTGAAAAAGGCAGCACATACTAAAGCATACTGCTGGAACTAAAAATGAGGGCCTTGCTGATTCAGAGCTTTAAGATGGAGGGACATGGAGCCTGGCGCCAGCTTAAATTCAGAGTAGCTGAAGACTGAACAGAGTCGGTACCACCTCTCCTAAACCAAGTCCCACTTGGAAAACCCAGGGAAGGTTGGTTTCGGTCCAGGTCTGCAGACCCATGAGCACATCAGCCTCTGGGGACAGCCAGGCGCCTCCCGGTACCCACTGGGGCCACCAGCGTTAGCAGAACCTGTCCACATCCCCTCTGCAGGGGTGGCAGCACACTGGGACGCAGAAAGAGCCCCCAACCCCACCAGCTTCCTCACCATGTTGGTTTCATGTTACCACCGTGGTTTGCCGAGCTCCTTCCTGCACGCAGCTTCTGTGGAAGGGAAGGGCACAAAGGGAGGGGACGCTAGATCTGTTTGCCGGGCAGGGCCTCCGGCGGGGGCAGCACGGCCCTGCCCTGGCATCGTGCTGCCCACGGGGCTGCCCTTGCTGAGCCCAGCTCCCAGAGCCCTCCCCACGCTGGGAACGACCCTCCCGCCCCAGCTGTGCCCCGTACGAGCCTCACACGGAGAAGCACCTAGATCTTCCCCCCGACAAACACGAGGGCGCGCCGCACTCCCCCCGTCCCCACCTCACGGGATCGCGCCGGGATTGTCCCCACCACGGGTCCGTCCCTGGCTCCCCCCCGCCCCGGGGCTCGGTCCCCCACCTCAGCCCGACTCTTCACGGGGCCGCGTCCGTGTATTCCCCCACTCC